AGACAGGGTTTCTCTGTATAACCCTGGCTGTCCTGGAACTCACCCTGTAGACCAGGCTGGCCACGAACTCAGAAATCTGCCTGCCTCTGCCTCCCCAGTGCTGGGGTTAAAGGCGTGCGCCATCACCGCCCGCCCGGCGCCATTTCTCTTTTCATTGTGTGGGTCTTCTGGTCGAAGGCAGCTGCCATGGGACCCCATGGTCTGGTTACCACAACACTAGAGACTGTCTAATTTCATTTTGTTGCTTCGAGAAACCCCAAGATCCTACTGCAGCTCCATGGGGGAGGAGGAAGGTGTTTATTTCAGCTTTAGGTCACAATCCATCACTGAGGGAAGTCAAGGCAGGAACTTGAAGTAGAAACCATGGAGGAACACCATGGCTGGCTTGCTCACTGCCAGACACATGCTTAGGTAGGTTTTTTTTTTTAATTTATTTTTATTTATTCACTTTACATCCTGATGTCTGTCCCCATTCTTGTCCTGTTCCCCCCTCCCACACTCCCAATCCCCTCCCCTTCTTTTCTGAGGGTGGAGGCCCTACCTGGGTATCCCTCCACCCTGGCACATCAAGTCTCTGCAGGGCTAGGCACAACCTCTCCCACTGAGACCAGACAAGGCAGCCCAGCTAGGAGAAAACGTATTCCAGACAGGCAACAGCTTTTGGGATAGTCACTGCTCCAGTGTTCGGGACCCACATGAAGACCAAGCTGCACATCTGATCTTGGGTGCTCTGGGCAAGCTGATACATATGGGGGGGGGAGAGTTACTGAAGGGGATTCAGGGTGGAGTTTAGGTAACTTTTTATTGAGCCCAAGACCTCCTGCCAAGGGACTGTTGTCGCTCACGGTAGGATGGACCTTCCTGTGTCAATTAACAATCAAGGCAATTCCCTATAGTCATACCCCTAGGCCAGTCTGATCTAGGAAGTCCCTCAATGCCTTTTCAGATGGACCACATTAAACTACTAGAGAGGGCAGGCATGGTGGTTCATACCTGTAAACCCAGGAATTGGGAGGCTGAGAACGGTGGTGAAGTCCACAGTGGATGCAAGAGAGTCTTTGTCTCTCTCTCTCTCTCTCTCTCTCTCTCTCTCTCTCTCTCTCTCTCTCTCTCTCTGTCTCTCTCTCTCTGTCTGTCTCTCTGTCTCTCTCTGTCTCTCTCTCAATCTCTCTCTCTCTCTGGCTCCTACTTTGGTTCTGTGAATAGAGAGCTGAGACTGACTCTTTACTGCCTCAGTTTGCTTATTAAAGAAGAATGGTGAAGCTGGGGACAGGGCTGGGTTATGTGCAAAGCCCGGGTTGGATATGCAGCAACACATAACTAAATCAGATGTGGTGGCATCTGGGAGGTGGACCCAAGAGAATCTGGAGTTCAGAGTCACTATGGGCTAGTTAGCGTATTTGAAGCCAGCCTAGTTTATAGTAGACCATATCTCGCTTTTAAGTTTTTTATAAAAAATATTTACTTATTCATTTTGCTTGTGTGTGGGTGCATACACACACAGATTGCATGTGGAGATCAGAGAACAACTCACAGGAGTCAGTTTTCTTCTTTCACCACGGGGGTTCCAGCTCTGAACTGGCCTCAGTCATCAGGCATGTCAGGAATCACCTTTAACCAATGAAAGTTCTGGATGGCCTGAGTCCCCGCCTTTATTCTCACTTCCAACCGCATGTGTGTATGTGTGTCGGTGTGAGTGTATGTCACAACTATGCAATCACCCACGGAAGCCAGAAGAGGGCGTCAGATCCCTCTGGATCTTGAGTTACAGGCATATTTGAGCTGCTGGAAGTAGGGGCTGGGAATCCAACCCTGGTCCTTTGCAAGAGCAGGAAGTGTTCTTAACCGCTGAGTCATCCCTCCAGCCCTGCAATCTTAAAGACGGGGTCTCGCGAAACTCACATGTGTTATACATGTATACGTTATACACAAAGGCGAACAGTCATGCACATTTAAAAAACGTGGTGTAAACCAAAAAAAAAAAAAAAAAAAAAAAAGCCGGGCGGTGGTGGCGCACGCCTTTAATCCCAGCACTTGGGAGGCAGAGACAGGCGGATTTCTTAGTTCGAGGCCAGCCTGGTCTACAGAGTGAGTTCCAGGACAGCCAGGACTATGCAGAGAAACCCTGTCTCGAAAAACCAAAAAAAAAAAAAAAAAAACGTGGTGTAGTGTGCTGGCCCGGTGGATACAGGCACCTGCCGTGCAAGGTTGGACCTGAGTTCTAGCGCCATCTAAAGGTAGCAGGAATGAAATGACTCCACAAAGTTAAACTCTGACTTCCTCCCATACACTATGGTAGCAGGTATGCCCGCATGCATGCATCACGTGTACATACACACACACACACACACACACACACACACACACACACACACTAAACATGAAAAAGAGTGATGGTACTTCCTTTCTACTCTGGTTAGGGGTTAAAGGCCCAAGATAGAATACGCTTAGTTCAATGGAGTCCAAGTTAGTTACTGTCTGGCCAGAGGTAGGCCCTAAACCCAGCCATTCTTCTCTCCTCACCAGGCCTGTTCCTCCCGCCATCAGCTCTACAGCCGGCAGACACTGATTTCTTCCCTGGTACCATATCCCTTCCCGGGTTGGAGCCTCCTGGCGGCCCCGACCTCCTGGACGATGGCTTTGCCTACGATCCTTCTGCCCCCACGCTCTTCACTATGTTGGACCTGCTGCCCCCAGCACCACCACTTGCCAGTGCTGTGGTGGGCAGCGGGGGTGCAGGGGCCACAGTTGTGGAGTCTCCTGGCCCAGAGCCCCTGTCACTGGACTCTTTTGCAGCTCCGGGCCCCGGGGATGTTGGTACCGCTAGCCTTGTGGGCAGTAACATGTTCCCCAACCAGTATCGAGAGGCAGCCTTCGGGGGTGGCCTCCTATCCCCAGGGCCTGAAGCCACGTAGCCTCTGAGGTGACAGAGGAGGCACTGGGTGAGGCGTGTGGTACAGCTCTCCGTCCCCGAAGCCAACCTTGATCAGTCTTCCAGCTTCCTCATCCTGAATCGGACATCTGCAGTGCTGGCGAGAAGATGGGGAGAGCTCTGGTTCTCTCTGAGCCCATTATACAGAATACTGAGTCCGAAGAGGAAAAAGGGGCTTCTGAAAGTGGCCCCTTCTCAGGACAGATTCTCAGAGATTGTACATAGGGGAGGAGGGAACAGATCGCCAGCCTTCTTCCCCAATCCTGAAGAAGGGACTAGGTTGTTTGTTCAGTTTTCCCAATAAAAAATAGTTTTTTGAGCTTTTGGGGCCTTCTCTCTTCTTTGCCTAGGAAACACTAGGTTTGTTTGTAGTTGAGAGGCTGGCCAAATGGCTCAGCGGTGAAGAGATATTGCTGCTCTTCCAGAGGACCCAGGTTCAGTCACAGCATCCACACAGGAGCTCACTCTGTGTGACAGCTGTTCTTGGTTGTCAACCTGACTACACCTGGAACTAAAACCCCAAAATGAAGGGTATGCATGTGAGAGATTTTTGCTTAATTTGAGGTAGGAAGACCCGCCAAGCAGTGGTGGCGCACGCCTTTAATCCCAGCACTTGGAAGGCAGAGGCAGGCAGATTTCTGAGTTCGAGGCCAGCCTGGTCTACAGAGTGAGTTCCAGGACAGCCAGGGCTACACAGAGAAACCCTGTCTCGAAAAAACAAAAAAAAAAAAAAAAAAAAAAAAAAGAAAAGAAAAATAAAGTATGAAGATCCACTTCTAATCTGGATCTTGACACAAGAAGACACACTTTTAATCCAGATCCATCTGGGCCACAGCTTCTGCTGGAAGCCTATATGGATGTGGAAGAAGGAAACTTTAGGTCTTTGTCTGCTTGCCATCGTCTTGCTAGCAAGTCCATTCCTTCACCGGCATTAGATTCATACACTGGGATTCCAGTGTATACTGAAGACCAGCTGAGACATCCAGCCTTGTAGACTGAGCATCTACTGGATTCTTGGACTTTCTGTCCATAGCCTGCCATTGTTGTATTAACTGGACCAGAGCCTATAAATCATTTAAATTAATCCCATATATATATGTGTATGTATGTGTATATACATATTTATATGTATACATACATATACACACATACATGTATAAATATACACATCTATGTATATATAGGTATATATGGGATTAATTAAAATTATATAATATATATTTGTGTGTGTGTATATCTCAGAGAAACATACACCTTCAGGCATAAACATAAAATAAATCTTTAAAAAAAGACTTTTCTTTTTTAAAGATTTATTTATTTCATTTATATGAGTACACTGTTGCTGTCTTCAGACACACCAGAAGAGGGCATCGGATCCCATTACAGATGGTTGTAAGCCACCATGTGGTTGCTGGGAATCGAATTCAGGACCTCTGGAAGAGCAGTCAGTGCTTTTTTTGTTTTGGTTTGGTTTGGTTTTTAGAGACAGGGTCTCTCTGTGTAGCCCTGGCTGTCCTGAAACTCACTCTGTAGACCAGGCTGGCCTCGAACTCAGAAATCCACCTGCCTCTGCCTCCCAAGTGCTGGGGTTAAAGGCGTGCGCCACCACCGCCTGGCAAGACTTTTCTATTTTTGTATTTTATGCATATGGGTGCATATGCATCAGAAGGCACTGGATCACTTAGGATTACAGTTAAGAGACTGGTTGTGAGCCGCTGTGTGAGTGCTGGCAATTAAACGCAGTACCTTGGCGAGAGTGGCCAACGCTCTCAATCGATTAGTCACCACTCCAGCCCATAAAATAAGTAAATCTTTAAAAAAACAACAACAAAACGTGTCTGGAATGCTGGGCTCCTCTTCTCGCAGCTTCCAGACCACCTCACCTCTCTAGGACTGGTCTCAGATTGTGCCACCCTACAAGCCCCGCCCACAAGCCGAACCACGCCCACATCTCAGAGCTCGTGTTCGCGGAAGTGCCTTTTGTGCAGCCCCGCCTCTCTCCTTCGTGCAACCTCTCACTTCCGCTTCCGGTGCGGGTCGTGAGCGCGCGCGAGCGCAGCAGTGGGAGGCGGCGACCAGCCGGTGAGTGCAGGCGTCCGACCCCGACCTCCAGGCTTCCGAGCGGTGGCAGTCGGGCCTCATCCTTGTCCGAGGCGCTCCGGGAATTGCCGTGGGTGTCCGCCGGGCCCCGAGGGTGGCCCTTTCTGCTTCCGGCCTGACAGGCCTCAGGCTGCGCCCCTCGCCCCTCCTCAGGCCCGAGTCCGCGCTTTGGGGTTCGGCACGGACCCTGGTCCCCAGACGCAACTCCGTTCCTGCCTTTCTCTCATCGCTCCCGCCCAGGGCCGCGGTCTTTCCTTTTTGCCTGCACGCCTGGCACGCTTCACATCCCTCCTTTAGATCTTGGCTGCCTGACGGTCTTCATCCTCTCCCCATGCCCTTTACCTGGCCTCACCCCTCCCCAAGCAGCATGTCCCTGCTGTGCTGTTGCCTCTGTCCACTAACCTATCTTACAACACTGCTGCACCCACCCCCGCACCATGCATGGGTCTTGCAGAGGGGTATTTGGGGTTCTTGTGAGTCCAGCCTTGGCAGCTAAGGATCGGTTTCAGACACTCCTTTTATTCCAAAAATTACATTTTTTATCTTTTTTTTTTTTTTCCCAGACAGCATCTCACTATGTAGCCTTCGCTAGCCTGGAACTTAGTACATAGACCAGGCTGGCTCCAAACTCAGACATCTGCCTGTCCTGCCTTCCCAACTGCTGAGATTCAAGGCATGCACTATCACTCCCGGCCAATTTAAAAAAAAAAAAAATTAAAGCAGGATCTCCATATTTAGGCTACACTGTCCAAGGCTTGCCTTGAACTCAAGGCAGTTCTCGTCAGCCTTCCAAAGGCTACCTACTCCATAGTCTTTCATATGGACGTTGGCACACAGAATCTAGGATGATTTCCAGAAGGAGGTCTTACCTAGGTCACCGGGAGCTTTCTCAGTTCTGGACCTTCTGCCACAGGACTGTTAGGAATCCTTTTGTGCACTCGGGCTGCAGCAAAGCTCCTCTCCCCTGAAGCCAGGGGACTTGGGATTGAGCATCAGGATCAACACCAACTTGTTAGAGGACTGGAACTCTCCCCACGTGGTCTTTGCAGTCTGTTTGATGTGTCTGGTGCCCTCCTTCCTCAGGTAGAAGCCTCAGCACGATGTGGCACGAGGCCCGGAAGCATGAGCGGAAGCTCCGAGGCATGATGGTGGACTACAAGAAAAGGGCAGAGCGGCGTCGGGAGTACTACGAGAAAATTGTGAGTGAGCAGACGTGAGCACGGGGTGGGTGGGCTCCGAGGGAAGGGCCCTGGGCCTGGAAGTGTGTCAAGGCAGGAGCGCTTTGTCTCAGAATCCTAGTCTTTTCCCCCTTTCCACTGTGACCCCTTTCTGTGGTATCGGAGATAGGAGTCTGGGCCTTGCACACGCCTTCTACCTGCTGCCCTTACCCAGTCCTGTTAGGTAGCCCAGGCTGGCCTCAGACTCATACACTTCCTGCCCGTGTCTCCCGAGGGCTGTGTTTACAGGTGTGTGTTGTTCTCCTGCTCAGCAGTAGTCATTTCTTCAGCCTAGTGGTTGGCATGAACGTGGGGCTTCTGTTTGTGTCAGCCTATTGTGTCTGGTGCGGCCTCGGTGCACTGGGGTCAGAGACCAAAGGCTCTGTAGCTCTCTGAACATCGGAGAGGAAGACCTCTGGAGCGGTCTCTGCTCCTCCACCAGTGTGTTCCCAGTGCCTGGAGCAGCTCAGCCATTCTCGAGGCTTGACTTGGGATCGATCAGTAGCCCTCGAGTCATCAGTGGTAGCTGACCTGTTCCCTCTTTTGTTTGATACTTTTGCTGTTTTTGGAGAAAAATAAATAAAAAGACAAACCAAACTCCATGCATTGACCAAGAAGTCCTTGAGACCTCTGCCCGGCTTTCTTGGGCATCTTTGCCGGCCTTTTCCATATCTCCCGTCACAGACACAGCATTGGTCTAACCTGCTTGGCTTTGGGACTGTTCCCCAGTGTGAAACGACAGTTGCTTACCTGGCTCAGTTCTTTTAGATGACATTTCTCTAGACATCCTATTAACTACAGTGTTGCTGCCCAGCCTCTCTGTTCCCTTTCCCTTCAGTCTTGTCTCGAGAAACCCATTCAGCAGACTAGAGAGGTCTTTGTGAATGTAAAACTGGCCCCGTTTCTCTCTTGCTCGGAATCCTATGACTCCTGAGTGTCTTTGGGAGAAGGCCAGTTTCTTTTCTATAGCTTTCAAGGCCATAGATAGTTTGGATATTCCCTATGAGGTGCTGAGAATGAAAGCCAGGAAAGGGCTTATGTCAGGCAAGTGCTCTGCCACTGAGCCACGCCCCCAGCCCCTCACTGGGGGATTCTAGGCAGGGGGTTATTATTGAGCCACACCCTCAGCCCCTCACTGGGGGATTCTAGACAGGGGCTCTACCACTGAGCCATGCCCCCAGCCCCTCACTGGGGGATTCTAGGCAGGGGCTCTACCACTGAGCCGCACCCCCAACCCCTCCCTGGGGGATTCTAGGCAGGGCTTTACCACTGAGCCACGCCCCCAGCCCCTCACTGGTGGATTCTAGGCAGGGGCTCTACCACTGAGCCACACCCCCAGCCCCTCACTGGGGGATTCTTGGCAGGGCATCTACTGTTGAGCCATACCCATATGCCCCTGCTGTTCTGGTAGGTTCTAGGCAAGCAGTTTGCCACTGGGCCACTTGGCCCTTAGTTTGATTTTTTTTTTTTTTTTTTAACCTCTCCTCCAGATTTGTGCCATTCTGCTCTCTGCTTGCCTCCCTTGTTCAAGTTATCCTGGCCTCCTGGCTCTCGCTCTCTCTCTCTCTCTCTCTCTCTCTTGCCCAATGTTTCCTCCTGAGTGCAGACTGATGCACTGTGTGGAATTGATTTGTCTGTAGCAGAGGAATGAAATATGAGCAAATGGCTGTAACATGACAGACATTTGTATCTTATCTCCAAAGAAGTTTTGTCTTGAGGTCTGAGAGAGCTCTGGAGGCCCCGGCTCTTGTGTCTTCCTTTCACCCAGCAGAGAGGAAATGAGAGAAAGGGGGCAGGGGCTCTCATGCTTCTTGGTGAGAGACTTTCTGGGTGTTTTCCCATGATCCCTTGTCCTGATGACCTGAAAGTCCCACAGGCCCATTCAGCCTCAAGGAAGCAGGCATGTAGATTCCCTTCTCGGTGGGCTTGGCCAGATGTGTGAGGGACCACTGAGTCAGGGAAGTAGAGATGGGTGGCCTGCCAGTGGAGAACAACTGGGTGCAGCTCCCTCACTGGCTGATTGGGGGCTTGGATGTGTAGACCAGTGTGTACTTGCCTGTTGGGAGTTTTGTGGGTGTTCCTTAGGGCGACTTCGCTCCTGGTGGGGCACAACAACATACCAGAGAGAATCCCTTGGCAGTCAAGCCTAGTGACTTTGAGTGTATTTGAAGTGACACACAGAGCATGGCAGACTCATCCATGTGCATCACCAGAAGCCATGGGTAAGCTCCCTGCCATGCCACAGCTACAGGTGGCTCTACCAGTGTTCCCTGCCTGTGGCCCTTGTCAGCACTTGTGTCACTGAGGCAGCAGCTTTGTGAATGTGGTCCAGTTATCAGTAAACCTCAGAGGCATTTAAGTGGCATTAGCTTCCTGTCTGAGCAGGGAGGAGATGGCCAGGCTGCCTGTGTGTCATGGTTTGTGTAACTGAGGCTCAGGGAGGGTTAACCTGAAGGGCTGGAATGTGGCTCAATGGTGAGTGCTTGCCTAGCCAGCGCCACCCCTATACACACAAAGGAAAGAGAAATGGTGGACTCACAGGCCTGCTATTGCTGGGTAGAGTGGAATTTGAATTGAGACCAGTGGGTGGGTGACACAGAGGGGAGCCTGCTGAGGGGTTCAGGCTTGTCTCCCTGTTGGCAGGGGGCCTCCCTGGCTTTTGTTCAGGGCATTGATGAGGAGGGAGCAGTCCTCACTGGGTGACAGGAAGAGCTGGACAACAAGTGTCTGTGGGGCTCTTTGTGATGTGGGCCGTACAAGCATCCAGTGTCCGGGATGGGACGGACGTGATCCGCATCCAGATGTGTGGAGCCTAGCTTTGGGAGATGGCCGGGCTGCTGCTTGTGGCTGTTGGGATGGTGTAGGGGAAGTCAGGGTGAGGAAACCAGGCTGGGCTGTGGCGGCCTGCTGAAGCTTGTCAGTGAGCGGCTAGATTTGCATCCCCCATCATTCTTGGTGACTGCTTTGTTTCAAGCTTTATAACTTTTCTACTGTCATTGTTCCTGTTCTTGTCAACATTGTTCCTTTTGAGATTGGATTTTGCTAAGTCGTACAGCCTGGCCTAGAATTCACTGTGTAGCCTAGGCTATCCCGCCAACTCACATTCCTTCTGCCTCGCTTCCTGGGTGCTGGGATTGCAAGTGTGTGCCTCTGTGCCTCTTCTCTAATTAGGATAAAGAAGTGCAGTCTACAGGACCTGATGGGGCACACTTTTAATTCTTGAATTAAAGGGCAGTGTTTCTGAGTTTGAGGTCGGCCTGATCTCTATAGCAATTTTCAGGCCACATGGGGCTACCTGGTGAGACTGTCTCAAAAGACAAAAGAAAAAGAACTACAGTCCCCTGTTGATGCACAGGTGGGAAATAAGTCTCCTGGAAGGCCCGGCTGACCGTCTGCTGGGCTAGGCATTCTCCTGAATTCCTCATGGCCGCCCTTCCCTGTATATAAGGTCGTCACTGTGGAGTACAGGGCTGTCTTCTACATTGAACTGTGAGCCTTAGAGGACTGGGCACCTGCGTGTACGTGCTGAAGCGTTAAAGGAGGCAGTGCATGCCAGGGGGCACGCCCATATGGACTCTTGCCCTGTCTGAACCCAGAGGGAGCACAGCCTGGTGGGTAAGAGTGGATTCAGCTGATTTGTCTGCCTCCAGTGCTGGGGGTGGAGCCTACAAATTATCCATACCCGGTACATGCTCCACTCAGCCTGGATTCAGCGTCTCAGGAGATTCTTTGCAGTATGGCTCACAGAGCCAAGAGTTAGGAGAAACTAACCATGTGGGTGAATGAATAAAGAAGCTGTGGGCTGGGAGATAGCTCAGTGGTTAAAGAACTTGGTACGAAAGCATGACGACCAGTTTCCATGGTGGCCTGCCTATTGTTTGACCTTAGGGAGGCAGAGACTGGTTCCCCAGATCAAGCTGGCTAGCCAAATCAGCCTTATCAGCTAGCTTCGCACTTGAGTGAGGGGCGGTGGCTTAGTGAACACAGTGGGAGAGTAATGGAGACGTCCCTGACGTGCGCCGCAGGCCTCCCTGTGCATGTGCACCTACACATGCCCACACGCAAAGGCTGTTTACCTCCCAGCCAATGTGGAGCACAAAGCTAGAGACAGACACTGAGAGACAGAGGCTGCTGGAGCTCTGTGAGTTCCAGGTCACATTAAATTGCATGATGAGACCCTGTCCCAGACAAATAAAAAAGGAAAGCCAGAGAGCCAGTATGGCTGGTCTCAGCACGCCAGGTGATGCAAACACAAAGACTGGTAGGTGTTGACTGGATGAGGAGAGGGCTGTTCTTCAGTGTGGACAGTTTGCACTTTGCAAGATGAGGCCGTTGTAGAGATGGGAAGCATAGTTCACACAGAGAGGTGTGTGTTAGTTGAGATACACTGTGCACTCAAGCAGTTAAGGGTTGGGCCAGGGCGTCAGCCAGGAAGAGCACTTGGCCTACTATGGGCGAGGCTCAGGGTTTAATCCCCTGTGCAGCCCGGAAGTTAAAATGAAAATAGTTGAGTATGGGTTCTATGTTAGCTACTTTTTACCTCAGTAACAATTATCCTAAAATTGGAAAAAATAAGCAAAAGGTAAAAAGGAGTTAGGCCTGCCTGTGGCTGGCCTGCTTCTGCCTGATGCTGGGGTGATGGCTTCAAATGCGGGCCTTGTGGCTTTGCCTCAGTTTCCTCATGCGGGAAATGGGCATCTTTAGGGTTGCAGAGATTGAGCTGTCTGTGAGAGCCAGGCTGTTAGGGCTCCTTGGCTTTCCCACAGTGTCACCCCCCAGGCATGCCCTGGCCTGGGACACTTCACTTGGGCCCTTGCCTGCCCCTGGTGAGATGCAGGTCCCTCCAGGGTTCTCACACACTCGTCAGACTCCATGCTGCACCTGCAGTCCCTAGAGTCTTAGACTAGCTGGAGGCTCTGTGGCCTGAGGAGCTGAAGAAGGTAGGCCGATGCACGGTGCCCCAGGACTTGATTTCACAGCCACCCAGCTGCACTCTGTCAGCTCTTTCACTGTGAACTCAGGTCTTGAGAGCCCAGTGACCAGCAGTCAGATGAGCAGGGTGCCAGCTGTGGTCACTGTGGGTCTTTGTACAGGGCCTGCATCCACTCCCTGCCAAGTGAAGTTGGGGACAGACAGTGACATGGAGCTGGGGTGTCAAGAGTGTAAGCACCTTGGCCACTGGGAGGCTGTGGCTAAGAGCCCAGTATTCTGCCAGAGAGGATACTTTTCTTTTCTTGCCTGATTTATAGGCCTTGAGAGTCCTTTGGGGACCAGGCCCTGGGGACAGACACAGCAGTTAGCAAAACATCCCAACCCCCTGGGGGGACATCCTGCTGCATGTTCTTCTTGTGGGAGGCAGGTGGTGACAAAGCTAGCTGAGCTGGATAGCAGGTGGTGGTTGCTGCCCTGAAGAAATCTTGAGGACCCAAGGTGCTCACTGGGGTTGCTTGGGGAGGCCCTGGGAGATGTGAGGTAAGGGAGAGAGTGGCCCTACTAAGAGGGAACGACAGTGGAGAGGCTCACAAGCCTGGACCAGGAGAGCGGAGGAAAGTCAGGGAGATGCCCAGAGGGTGCTGGGAAGAGGGGACGGTTGTGGCTTTGAGGGACAAGGGAAGCATTGCAGAGAGCAGAGTAGCCACTTGCTCCAGGCACAAGATGACCCGTGGACAGCAGGACCCAACCAGAGGATGTGCTACGACTGGCAGAACTGTGGGAGCCAGCTCAGAATTGTGGAGCAGCATCGAGCCCCTCCAGTGGCTCCTCCCTAGTTCATGTGACATGACCCCAGTAACTGCCAGGCCGGGGCAGTTATGCTTTCCCCACCGTAGTTTATGCTCTCCATGATGCTTTTGTGTTGGCGTGGCGTACGAATTTGTACGCCTTTCTCCAGTCCCAGGACTCGGGCGTTAGGTTAATGGACTAGGTAGGCTCCCACTTAGGCGTCCTTTATTTGGGCTGGTTTTGGCAGCCCTGAGGTAGGAGGACAGCCAAGGGTACACAGAGAAACCCTGTCTTGAAAAGTCCCCCCCCCCAAAAAAAAAAAAAAGAGGGGCTGGAGAGATGGCTCAGGGCAGTTAGGAGCACTGACTGCTCTTCCAGAGGTCCTGAGTTCAATTCCCAGCAACCACATGGTGGCTCACAACCATCTGTAATAGGATCCAATGCCCTGTTCTGGTGTGTCTGAAAACAGCTACAGTGTACTAATATATATAAAATAAAAACGAGATCTAAAAACAAAACTAAACAAGATATGTTGAAATAAAAGGAAAAGAGTATTTTGCGTGTGCGTTATGTCCAGGCTTTTCTGTTCAAGTATGTTAGTACATATGGAGGCTACAGGCCGGTGCTGGGTGTTTCCCATAGATACTCTTTCATTATGCGTTTGACCCAGGATTCCCCCCTCACCTTGGCCAGTAAGCAGCCAGTGTCTGCCTGCCCAGTGATGGGATTATAGGCAAATACTGACATGCTTGGCTTTTACATTGGTGCGCTCTGTGTTAACAGCTTTTTTTTTTTTTTTTTTTTTTTTTGGTTTTTGGAGACAGGGTTTCTCTGTGTAGCCCTGGCTGTCCTGGAACTCACTCTGTAGACCAGGCTGGCCTCGAACTCAGAAATCCGCCTGCCTCTGCCTCCCAAGTACTGGGATTAAAGGCGTGCGCCACCACTGCCCGGCTTTTGTGTGTGTGTGTGTGTGTTAACAGCTTTTTTTGAGCTATAAGTGCCATACCAACTACCCATTAAGGTTCACAGTTCATTGCTGCACTGCGAATTAGTGGCAGGCTGCTCGCCTGGCATGCTCAAGGCCCAGGGTTCAGTCCCCACACTGGACAAGCAGTGTTGCCAGCACCTTGCGCATGCTCAGGAGCCCCACTTCCCGTCCTTTCTCACTCTGGGTTCTGGGGGCTTCCCCGAGTCTCTCCACTTGCTGCAGTGTTGTGGGCTTCCTTCCCTGGGCCCTGTGTGGTCGAGGCTCTGTCATAGTGGAGAGCGTGTTGGTCCACTGTGTGTCTGAGTACTGCCACACTTTATCATACAAGGAGTCTGCTGGGTTGTTAGCATGTTCTGGCTCCCGTGAGCTGTGCTGACATGAACGTTAGCATGTGTAAGATCTGTACCTAGAAGTAGAGCTGCTGGGTCGTATGATGATGATTTTTGCTGCACGTTTTTTCATTGCAGTTCTTCTTTGCAGCGCCAGGGGTGGAGTTAAGTAGAGCTAGGGCCTTCTGCCTGGGAGTTGGGCAGTGGCACTGCCCCTCCAGCACAGCCTCAGCCTGGGTTAGCCTGTGAGGCACTGAGTTTCTTGGTGCCTTGCCTGTGCTGTTGTCAGTTCCACTGTCCCACTGCATATGGAATGGGACCTTCTCTGCCTCCTGTCCCCCCGGGGCCTGCAGATGCACCACTGCCCTTGCCCATGGGATGTTGCTGCCCCAGAGGCTGTACCAGGTTCAGGCCTTATGCTGTGCTCCGGATGGATGGCTTGGGATGGGGATGAAGAGTTAGGGGAACACTTGAGACAGTGTATGTCTGTAGCTCAGGTTGCCTTTTAGTTTCTCATCCTCCTGCCATAGTTTGAAGTAGCTGGGATAGATAGGCCTGGCTGGCAGGACGCCTCAGCAAGAGCAGAGCTCAGCACCTCTGGCCATGCCTGGGACGACACAGTCCCCTGTTCCTGAGGGTGGTTAAGCTGCTGGTGCTGTGCATGTTGGCTCACCTGTGAGGTGTGGCTCAGGGACTTGACCCAGAGGCCAAGTGACCACTAGGTCTACTTAGGGAAGTATGATGGGTCTTGACTCCTTGGTGACTTCTGACCTGTCCATCCCTGTAGAAGAAAGACCCCGCCCAGTTCCTGCAGGTGCATGGCCGAGCCTGCAAGGTTCACCTGGATTCTGCAGTTGCCCTGGCTGCCGAGAGCCCTGTGAACATGTAAGACAGTGGGGGGGTGGGGAGGCATGCAGCATAGTGTCAGAAGAGACTTGAGGGGACTCTAAAGTCTGCAGTAGAGGCTCAGATAAGGACACACTTGTGTAATCAAGCCAGGAAGACTGTGCATGTGCAGTTGACTGTCAGAGAAGTTATGTAGGTACTCACAGTAGGGAAGGAGTTAGGGCTGACTGGTGGCAGAAGGCAGGTTGCCAGAGGGTCCTGTTTCAGGGTGACTGTGCCTCCTTTAGTACACCCTCAGCCTGGCTTAAGTTCTTTGCTACTGCCTGGCTCTGAGAAGTGAAGTCCTAAGCTTGTGGACTGGCAGGTGGATGACTTGTTGGGCCCCAGACCTGAGGTGTAGATTTGGGTTGATGTCAGAGGAGCTTGAAGTGGTGGGGACAGGTGCTTGGACTCTGAGTCCTGCCTCTCTGACTGTGTCCTCCCACCTCAGGATGCCCTGGCAGGGAGACACCAACAACATGATTGACCGCTTTGATGTCCGTGCGCATCTGGACCACATCCCTGACTATACCCCCCCACTGCTCACCACCATGTACGTGTCCTGCAAGGCTGGGCTGCCCCGGCATACCCTTGACCTTGAGCCTTGCCCACTCCCTCCCTTAGCCAGGAGCCTGACCACCACCATCTCCCCTTTTTCTGATTCCTGGGACTTGGGTTCTCACCTTCTCTTTAACCCCACTCTTCCCCAAAGCTCCCCGGAACAGGAGTCAGATGAGCGGAAGTGTAACTACGAGCGGTACCGAGGCCTGGTGCAGAACGACTTCGCCGGCAGTGAGTGGCGGGGGTGGGGCGTGGGGCATGGGGGCCTGAGGCTGGACCACCTAGACAAGGCTCACCCAGGTACTTGCTGCTGGTTGCCCTTGGTTCTGTCCTAGTCTGTGTACCCTCTCCCTCTTTTGGGTCTTCTTCGATGAAACTGCCACAGGGTCTCTGTGGAGTTAGAGACTTGGAGGTCTCTGCCCAGGGGTCTCCCATCTCTTTCCTCTGTCTATATAGAGCCCTTTTTCTAAAAAAGAAGGGAGGAGGGCATCCACTTCATGGGTGAGGGTCCCAGGAAGAAACTCTGCCTTGTTGTGAGGAGAGCCCTGGGCATGCCAGGTCTGGCCTTCACTGTTCTCTTTCGTGAGTGAGAGGTGGTTGTCCAGGGGACAAGGACTTTCTGCTGGGCTTTCTCAGGAGGGCAGATCCTCTTAGGCAGGCTTCTCTGTCAGGTCATCAGGGTCACCGCATGTGGCTGGGGATGTGGCTCGGTGGTGGAGCATGGGCATGTGTAAGGCTCTGGGTACCAGCTGGGGAGCCGGCTCAGGGTTCTCTGATGGAGAACCTGCCATGAAAGCCTGACAGCCTGAGTGAGCTCAGGAGAGCCCGCTCCTGAGCTGTCCCCTGACCTCCACATACATGCCTTGTTACAGTGCACATGACATGCATGGGCAGATTGAGACTCTGGTTCTGTGCCTAGTGTTGCAGACAAAACAGATAACACCCCCGCTGTGACCCTACATGGCTTCCTACAGGGAGAGGACTCAGTAGTTCCCCTTCCCCCGCCTGTGTTTTGTGGAGCTGGGGATGGTCCAGAGTTATACGCACACACATGCTAGGAAAGTGCTCTCCCATAAAGCTGTACCAGAGCCCCGGTCTTACTCTGTAGCCACAGCTGGCCTGAAAGTCGTCATCCCCTGCCCCACCCTCCCCAGTGCTGCAATTAGCCCCCAGGCAAGGACCACTATGTCCAGTTTGATGCCCCCATTTTAGACAGGACTCATGGGCGTCTAGATATGACGTCTTCCCTGCCTCTGCCTAAGCATGGAGAGGTCCCTGGTGGGTGCCCTTGGCCAGGGTCATCCACACATCTCCTCTCTTGGCAGGTCTCGTTGTCCTCCCCATGGAGCGTTAGGTGGGTCCCTGGGTCTGAAAGCTTCAGGCTGACACAGGCGGCACGTGGGCTTTCTAGTCCCAGACTTCTCTATTTCCAAGATGCTTTTATGTGGTTCAAATCAGAGGTGGCCACACCCTAGCAGGCAGTGCAGCCTTAGAGTCAAGAAGTTTGTCATTTGTCACCATGGTGCTGTCCTTTTTTTTGCTGTCAGTCCAGGCCACATGGTTCCTTGCAGCTGGAACCTGGGCTTCCCTTAGAACTTTCATCACTCCTCCAAGCAGTGTGTCCTGTGCTGCTCTGGGGATGGGGACAGGCCGAGAGCCACTGCACCATCACATGAGCAGCCTGAGAACAAACCTAGGTGGTGTAAGAGATGGCTTGTGAGTGTTCCTGAAGGGAAGTAAGGCCGAGCGGGGTAGACTCGTGCTTTCTGCTGGGCCAGGGGAGGCATAGATAGAGTCCAGCCCCTGAAATAGGGTACACAGAGGTCCTGGAGTACAGGCATTGAAGGCAGGCCAAAGAGCTGTGGGAGGGAGGGCAGCAGGGCCTTCTTCTAGGACATGGAGACTAGGCAGGAGGCCACTGTCTATCACAGCCAAGGAGGGCTGGGCTTTGTTACCTAGCACAGACCTCGATGCCACAGACAGAAAAGCTGTGGCACTCAGGCTCCTGCAGTGGCCCAGCACCACAGCCGCTCCAGAGGCTGAGGCAGGGGTTGCCTGGGACAGCCTGAACTTTATGAAATCTGTCCCAAAAAGAGGACTGGTTTGGCTTAGGTGTGATCTTCTGCTCCTCACCTGTTCCCCTTACAAAGAAAGGAAAGCTTAGCCGAAGCCTGCAGAGGGAAGGGAAAGGACTCACCTGAGCCCCACGTGGGGCTGAGGGGAAACTGTGGCCACCTCAGTACCTGGGAAGTTCCTGAAGTGGGTGCTGGGGGAGGAAGACATGGTCAGCAGACATTCTGTTAACCAAAACTAACCCACAGAACCACATGGCAGCCGGGTGGGGGGGTGTCTAGATGATACCCAGCACTTACAGGCATGCTTATGGTTCTAGAGGCCAGACAGGCTCCGTGGCAGGGGTAGGGACCCCTAGGTCCAAATTACTTACTCTGTCAGGGATCCCATTTTACAGAAGAGAGAACCGAGTCACAGGGGTCAAGGGTTAACATCACGAGCCAGGCACGGTGTGAGTATATAACATCTGGCTGATGTTATATACTGTGGTCACTTGGGTCCTAGACAGAAGAATGATTTGAGATAGGTGACCCTGCCTTGGCTGTCCCCCTCCCACCCCCTCCTGTGTCTTTGTGTCCCACTCCACCCACATGCGCCTGGCTGGGCTGACCTGTGCCTCTCCTTGCCAGTCTCTGAGGAGCAGTGCTTGTATCAGATCTACATTGACGAGCTGTACGGAGGCCTGCAGAGACCCAGCGAGGATGAGAAGAAGAAGTGAGTGGGTGTGCTCCGATGGGCGGGGCCTTGGTGGGCCCGGGCTCCGGATGTGTAGAGTGGACGGGCCCTGCCCAAGCTTGTCGCTCCTGCCTTGCAGAGTGGGAGGTTTGAGTCCTGTGGGGAGGGCCGGGGAAAGGCAGCCCCTTGGAGTCAACCTTCAGGCAGGAGCTTCGGGGACCACGGGTGATGGGGAGTCACGCACTTGTGGTGCAGCACGTAGTAAGATTACAGCCCACAGCACTGACGTCACTCTGCAGGGCCCTGGAGGCATCAGTGCTGCCAGCCATCCCAAAAGCCAGCCTGGCTGGGCGCTGTTGTCGGAGCCCTGCTCAGGTCTGGGAGCCAGCACCCACAGGGTCTGTTCCTGACACTCAACCTGGCCTCCAGGAGAAGGGTCTGGGATGAGGCGGGGTCACTGTCCATTGAGTCAGCGGTGGCCTCTCAGTGTGGCCCCTGAAAGCAGGGCTGAGGTACACGCCGTCCAAGATGACTGGGGTCTGCACTCATGGGACTCAGTGCAGGCAGGCTTGTGTCCTGACAGGAGTAGGCCAGCACGGGCAAGGTTGGGCAGTCCAGGACACTGGTGCCTTAGGCAGGAGAGGTGAACAAGGAGGACTTCTTGGAAGAGGAGGCCCTGTACTAGGACAGGAATGGGAAGGACCAAGCCATAGTGGGGTGGTCTAGAGTGGCACAGCTTAGATAAATATGTAACCACTGTGGGGCCTACCTGTGGCCCTGCTCCTACTGGGTACCCTCTTGCTCATGGCTCTTTTTCCCAGGCTGGCAGAGAAGAAGGCTTCCATCGGCTACACCTATGAAGACAGCACTGTGGCCGAGGTAGAGAAGGTGGCGGAGAAGCCAGAGGAGGAAGAGTCGCCAGCAGAGGAGGAGAGCAACTCGGATGAAGATGAGGTCATCCCCGACATCGGTGGGGTCCCCTCTCTGCCCTGCCCACCTGCAGTCCCCGGGCATCGGTTTTGTGTCTCGTCCCTCACCCTCTGTGGGGTACCCATGCTTACAAGGCCTTCCCCGCCCACCTCAGCTGCAAGGCCTCAGCCTCTTGCGACTCCCAGCCTTCCCTGCCCTTTGCTTTGCCTGTACCCTATCCCCAGTGTGCCTCCCTTCACTCCCCATTTCTGGGCACTGATCTAGAAGTTTCTCCCACCTAGGAGCTGGCCCTTCCTCTTCTACCTGGGCTAACTGTACTTTGCTCTGGGAAAGCAACCTTCCCCATCCCTAGAGCTGCCCTTCATCCTCCAGCCTCTGTTGCTCATACCCCACCTTCACCTCCTTCCCTCTGTGGGCGTGCCCAGTAAGAAGACTGTCACTGCCCCCTCCCTCTCTGTCTTACTCTTTCTGGTGCACATGCGGGCTCAGCCCCAGGTAGAGCCGAGGTTCATGTCCATCCTTCCTGCCCTCCCTCCATGTGCCGCTCTGCTGCCCACCCCACCTCCATCTCTTTCCACCTCCTACCCTCTTCTCTTTCCTGCACTCCCTCCACAGACTCCCCCACCCACCCACCCACACTGGTCCCTGCCATGCTGGCCACGCCCCGCCTGGGCCTCAGAGCTGCTCCAGCACAGCAGCAGCCTCCCGGAAGGCGCTCTTCTGTCTAGCAGACCTGCCCTGACTTGGGGTGCTCCCCTCCTCTTCTCCTGGGGCTTGGGTCCCTGACAGCCTTTCTCTTGGTGCAGACGTGGAGGTGGACGTGGATGAGCTGAACCAGGAGCAGGTGGCTGATCTCAATAAGCAGGCCACAACCTACGGCATGGCTGACGGGGACTTTGTCAGGTGAGAGTGCTGGCTGGTGTGCCGTGCTCTGGCCCTTCCCTGGCTTCTGCGTCACATGCCTGCTACCATCAGCTGTTCTCAGCCTGAGACCTATGCATTTGTGGATCCACTTTCTGCAGAAACCTGGAAGCTACTAGTTCCTTGGGGGACAGCGCCCTCTAGTGGTCAGCCTTATGTATGATAATGAGGTGCAGGCCCCTGCTACTGCCTGTGCCCGCTCATGCCGCACCAGGCGCTGTCTCTACATCAGTGGCACCAACAGATCAGAAACCGTTTTTGTGTGGCACTAGGGATCGGTCCCAGGTCCTGCCCTACCCTGAACCTAGAACCCTCTAGCACAGCGGCTGTTCCTAACCCTGCAGCCCTTTCATACAGTTCCTCATGTTGTAGTGACCCCAACCATAACATTATTTTCATTGCTACTTCATAACTAATTTTTCTGGTGCTATGAATTGTAATGTAAATATTTCTGGAGATACAGGTTTGCCAAAGGTGTCAGGACCACAGGTGGGACCACTGTTCTAGTGCTTTTGCCCTTAAGGGGTTAAAGATGTTGCTGCCACCACCACCTGGCCCCCCTCAAAAAATTTGAATAGAATCCTATTTTAAAATTGCATGTGTGTAGTATGTTCATGTGCACATACACACACGCGCGCGCACACACACTGGTGCATTGCCCATGCAGGTACCAGAGGAGGACATCAGGTCTGCTGGTCTGTCCACTTAGTCCCCTGAGATGCCTCCAGATGACATCTGTCATTGAACCTGGAGCTATGCTGATGGCTGGCAATCCTCCTGTCTCTGCCTTTCACAGTTCCAGGCATGGAGTAGCCACATACAGCTTTTGAGGTTTTCTTGTGGGTTCTTTTGCTTTGTTGAGAGTTTTATGTGTAGGTGTTTTGCCTGTCTATAGTTAGTTCTGTGCACCATGTGCAGGCCAGAAAGGGCGCCGGGTCCCCTGGGGCTGGAGTTAAGGCAGTTGTGAGCTGCCAGATTCGGGGGCTTAGAACTGAACTCAAGTTCTCTGGAAGAACAGTAGATGTTCTTAACCTCTGAGCCATCTCTCTCCAGCCCTGAGTGCCAGATTCCTGTAAACCAGCACAGAGGGAACCTAAAGAGGGGGCTTCACAGCTAGTTTCGGGGCGCCCAGCACCTCCTGACCTCCAGGAGCGCCGGGCACTCGTGTGACAGACAGACACACAGGCAGAGCACATGGAAAACAGATCTGAAACCAGCTTTTTTAGGTGCTCAATAAAATCTATTGAACATCTCAGAGAAATTAGATGTAGTAGCCCACACCTATGATTCTGCAGTCTGGAGGCTGAGGCAAGAAGGTCATGAGTTCAAAGCTAGCCTGACAGAACAAGACCCTATCAAAGGGAAGGGCAGGAAAGGAAAGGACAGGACAATGCATGCCTACGCCTACACATCCCTTGGCTACTAGGATTACATAGTGAGTTCGAGACCACCTATCCTATCACAGCAAAGCCCTGACTCAGGGAGAAAGGACAGAGTTGTCCAGGAATCGTGGCTCACCATCGGGTCCCTGCTATCTTTGCCGCCTTTACCAGGGCTCTGCCCACTCTGAGACCTGTGCCCGTCATGCCGATTCTAACTTCCTCTGCAGGATGCTGCGGAAGGACAAGGAGGAGGCCGAGGCCATCAAACATGCCAAGGCTCTGGAGGAGGAGAAGGCCATGTATTCGGTGAGGTCCGGGTAGGGTGAGGGGGTGCAAGTGTATCTCCAGTGAGGTCACACTCCTCACCACCCTGGTACTCCCCATCTAGGGCCGTCGTTCCCGGCGACAGCGAAGAGAGTTCCGGGAGAAGCGGCTGAGGGGCCGCAAGATCAGCCCTCCTAGGTAGGATTTCTCCCCTGGGCAACCCTCAACTGCGGGCCTCTAGTGGAGCCCAGCCTTGGCTCAGCAAAGAATCCTAATGATGCACCTGAGGTGACAATTACAGAGCTAGGAGTAGCCTTGGAGGCATTGAATGCTTTCCTCGGCCACCTGCCCCTGCCTTCCAGTCACCCTGCTGGACTAGGGGCTCTTGGGGAGTGGGACAGGTGGCTGCTGGGGATGGCTGGGGGAATTGTGGCCAGAACTCAGAGCCCAGTCACACAGAAGCCACCCATGCTGGTCAGTGTCAGGACTACAGGGTCTAGATAAGTGACTCCTTTCTTCTAGCTACAGTTTCCTCCATTCCACAGTGGAGAAAGGCCTAGGCCACTTTCCACAATGAAGCCTTGAGAGAGGACAGGTCGGAGCCGTTGCATATGGGTAGAGAATAGTCTAGGCCTGGGAGCCCCGGGCAAATGTCTGATGAAGATCGGGAGTGACCCTAGGAAGTCACTTGCCCCCACAGGGACTGCTCCTCCCCTGTGAAGAGTGAATCCTCAGATCTGAGGTGTGTCACTGAGTTAGGTTAGGCACGCCCACGCCAGCATGGGTGGGGGTTGGTCATCATGGCTTCCAGGGTGGCACTGGAAAGCTGGACAGCTCCAGGGCTGCTCTGCTTGCTGTTGTTAGAGCCTCATGGTGTAATAAGGAGACCAATATGGGACCCCCACGATGAGATGGGGTGCACAGTCTGCAGCTCTGGGGTTCAGGGCGGGGTAGACCCAGGTTTACACCAGCCAGCCTGGTCTTAGCTCTGTCCTTCCCTGTTGTCTCCATAGTTACGCCCGCCGAGACAGCCCCACCTATGACCCCTATAAGCGGTAAGTGTCAGTGCCCTAGAAGATGCTGTCATTGTTGCTGACCTTTTGGGTCAATCCTGTGGTAGAAGGCATCCTGTGGTCTGTAGGTGGGGGTTGGGTCTACATCAGTTTTGCTTTTCCAAAAATTTTTTAAAAGTCAGAATCCCTTTTGTCTTCCAATGTTAACGTGCAGGCTTGAGATACAGTGAAATACAACGTAAAGGGACGTGGAGATCCTATGTCTTTAACAAGATTCCCAGAGTTAGTGAGTGCCAGGCAGGACAGGAGCCCAGGGCCCTGTCCCAGGGTATTGGGTTGTAGAGGGCCCTCTCTCTCCAAGGCCAGGGGGTGGGGCCTGCTGGGCCAGGGGCCTTTTGTGTTGGCCTGCTTTTCCCTAAAAGAAGTTCCCACAAGGCCCAGTGTTTTATGGGATGGAATTAGCTGAGGACTTCCTCTCCAGGTATAACAACAGGAAGACCTCACTGTTTTGCTACTGTTCTAGGGCTGGAACCCAGGGTCTCTTGCATAGGCAAAGCCGCCTTTGAGCTACACCTGGTCTTTTCTTTCTTTTTTGTTTGTTTGTTTGTTTGATTTTGTTGTTGTTATTGTTGTTTATTGAGACAAGGACTCTTATGTAGCCCTGGCTGTCCTGGAACTTTTATGTAGACTAGGCTGGCCTCAAACTGAGATCTACCGGCCTTAGCCTTCTTATTGCTGGGATTAAGGGCATGTGCCACTACCCAACCCCCTACTTTCTGCCTATTTTCTTTTGGTAAAATTACATTTACCAGTCTGGGTGGGAGTGGTGCACATGTGCCACAGAGCTGAAGATAAAAGGACAGCTTCAGGTCAGTTCTCTGTCTGCCATGTGGACTCTGGGATTGATCTGGGGTTGTCAGGTTTGCAGGCAAGAGCCTTTACCTGCTGAGCCATCCCACCACCACAGATTTGTTTAGTAATTTTTTTTTTTTTGAGACAGAGTCTCTCTATGTAGCTCTTGACCTTGCTGTGGATGTGTACCAGGCTGTCCTGGAACTCACACCTCCCACTAGGGCCCTGGCGGAGCCGGGGCTCTGAGTGCTGCCTCCCTTTTGCCCGCTGCTCTCCTGCTGCAGGTCACCTTCGGAATCCAGTTCCGAGTCCCGCTCCCGCTCTCGCTCCCCGAGCCCTGGCCGCGAGGAAAAAATCACTTTCATCACCAGTTTTGGAGGCAGTGACGAGGAGGCAGCTGCTGCAGCTGCTGCAGCCGCCGCATCGGGAGCTGCCCCGGGGAAGCCCCCCGCGCCTCCCCAACCGGGTGGCCCCGCTCCAGGCCGTAATGCCAGCGCCCGGTCGGTAACGCTCTCGTGCCCGCCCTAGCTGACCGCCGGGAGGAGGGACGGGCCCTCTAGGGCAGTGTCCCTGACAAATCTGACAAATCGTTTTCCCCGTGCATCCGCAGCCGCCGCTCCTCTTCGTCCTCCGCCTCCAGGACCTCCAGCTCCCGATCCAGTTCGCGCTCCAGCTCGCGCTCCCGCCGTGGCTATTACCGCTCTGGCCGCCACGCGCGCTCGCGCTCGCGCTCCCGTTCCTGGTCCCGCTCGCGCTCCCGCTCCCGCCGCTACTCGCGCTCCCGCAGCCGCGGACGGCGGCACTCAGACGGCGGTTCCCGCGACGGACACCGCTACTCACGCTCGCCCGCCCGGCGCAGCGGGTACGCGCCCCGCCGAAGGAGCAGGTCTGTGCTGGAGAATGTTTGCCTTAGGGCAGGAGCGGGCGGGCTGGGGACAGATCAGGCCAGCCCCTCTTCTCTTGGGAAGCACCTGAGGAAGCTGGACGGGGTAGGTACCCAAAGTATGGGGCTGGGCGTGGAGGTATCTCCTTGGCTTTTACCCGGACTTCCCAGTCTGCAGGACCTGGGAACCTCGTGGGCGGGGCAACAGCCTTTGAAGAAGAAGGCGGGTTCCCAGGGGACAGAGGAGCACAGGCTGTGGCTGTTTGTAGGTTTGGTTGGGGAAAACAGCGGTGGAGAGTTTGGATAGGGCCAGGCTTAGTGACGGAGCTGGAATTTCTTCGTCTGTAGAACAGACACAGCTACAGGGGTCATCAGTCATTAACTGCCAGGCGAGCCCTCGTCTTTCTAAGGAGGCCGAACATACATTACCAGGCTGAGTATGCACTCAGTACTGATGACGAGGACCTGTCAGCCCAGGGAGATTCATTAGGTGCTTGGAAACTGGCTTCTGGGTTTTCCCTGTAGCATGACCACAGGGGAAAGGCAGGGGCGGGAATGGGGCCTATCACAAATTGAATGCCAGCCTGGGGGTGACTACTTTCTTGAGAATACTCCTAGTACTCCAAGCAGGGAAACCCTGGGGCTGTGTAGAACTCTGCAGAACTTGTAGATTGCTGTGGGCTAGGGAGCACCAGCGGTGTGGAGCAGAACGAGGCACCTTAGTGCCCTGAGCTTCCTCACGATGTTAGCACCTGAGTATCTAGTGAGGGAGAGAAGTGTGGCCGACCTACTCTCCGTGCCAGGTGCTGACTGTTGTAAAATGTGTCTAGGGGCAGCCGAGGCCTTCTGAGGAAGTATGTGGGAGAAGTGTTCGACCCTGCAGGAGGCCTGGGATTTGGGAATTGGGGTGACTTCCTGTAGGTCCCCGGAGCCTCACAGCCTTCCGGCTCTGCTATACCTAGGAGCCGCTCCCGATCAGGTGACCGCTATAAGCGGGGTGCCCGAGGCCCCAGGCATCATAGCAGCAGTCATAGCCGCAGCAGCTGGTCCCTCAGCCCTTCCCGAAGCCGCAGTCTGACCCGTAGTGGAAGCCGAAGCCAGAGCCGGAGCAGAAGCCGCAGCCAGAGCCACAGCCAGAGCCAGAGTCACTCGCCATCGCCCCCAAGGGAGAAGCTGACCAGGCTGGCAGCGTCCCCTGCTGTGGGCGAGAAGCTGAAAAAGTGAGTTAGGGGCCTGGCTGGCGCTGAGAGAGCCCCCACTCAGTTTATTTTGAGGTGAATGTGACAGTACCCTGGCTATTCTGGGAAGCGTGTGCACTGCAGTATAGAGTTGGTGCCATCACGGCCTTGGCTTGAGTGGGCTGTCAGAGAAGGACGTGGTCCTGCCTAGGTTCTGGGGGTCAGGAATATATTCTGAGGAGTCTGGAACCCACGGCTGATGCCAGTCCTGAGGCGTACGGTAAGAGTGGCATTGCCATTTTCTCTCAAAACCCAGGACCGAACCTGCCGCTGGTAAAGAGACAGGAGCTGCCAAAGTCAGTAAGAATTTGGAACTCGCCCGTCTAATTCCCGTCAGCAGCAGTGTCCAGAGCTGGGCCTGGTGGGCCTGCAGGGGGCCCAGGGGGAGGGGAGAGCCAGCCCAGGGACTGGGGAAGGGCTACCCAGGCAAACTAAGTCCTATCCCTACCTCCCATGGGGCTCCAGCTGGCCCCCAAGTCCCAGACTCTTGGCTGAGGTGGGCTGGGCGAGCTCTGGGCACCCACGCCTATCCCGCCCCTTCTCCCGCAGCCCAAGCTGACCCCACAGGAGAGGCTGAAGCTGCGGATGCAGAAGGCTCTGAACCGCCAGTGTAAGTCCTGCCTCCGGTCCAGCCAATGCTATGGGAAGAGTGGGCTGACCTCTCCCGAGCCTGCCTGAGCAGGTCAGGTTGGCTCAGGGACTATGAGCACAGCCCTCAACCTCACCCTCCCTCCCTCCCTCCCTCCCGCCCTCCACAGTCAAGGCGGATAAGAAGGCAGCTCAGGAGAAGATGATCCAGCAGGAGCACGAGCGGCAGGTCGGGCTGTGCTCAGATGGGCAGGGCGCGCAGGTGGAGGGGGGCTGGACAACCCCTCACAGCTGTTTCTGCTGCAGGAGCGAGAAGATGAACTGCGAGCCATGGCCCGAAAGATCCGAATGAAGTAAGGCCCCGACCTGTGGTCCACCCAGCCTCCTGTTGCTGGAGCCCTTGCCTCCTTTCATTGGTTCCGAAGCCCATGCCATTGCTGTCTCTTCCCCTGGCCACCTGTTCTCCAGATGCCCTAGGCCTTCCACCTCCTGACCTCATGGCTGAACACTGTCTTAGTACTCCTTGGCCTCCCCATGCCTGGCAGCTGTGTCCTTGGTGTTTGATGCTGAGCGAGTGGTGAAGTGAGACTGCCTGTAGCAGGTCTCTTGGCCCAAAAGCTTTGGCTCTTCTCTTGACCTCCACTCTGTTGGGCAGTTGTCAGAGCCTGAGCCCAGACCATAGGCTTGGGGCTTAGTTTCAGCTACCTTAAGTCTCTGAGCAGGCGGCTCTGGGGCAGGTACTTACCGTCTTGGAGCCTCAAGTGGGCCATGTGCTCAGTGCCCACCAAACTCGGCAGCTAGAATTTCTACCTGAAGACCTCAGCTGGCCCAGGGCTCTTTGGCAGAGCCTGGGCTGTTGCACTGTGTATTGGCAAAGATGGGAGCCGGTCAGTCAGGGACGGGCCTGTTCCTGTCAGTCCTTCTTGCTTTATGTTAGAGTGGAGGAACAAACTTTTCGCTTTCTTGAGCTCAGTTGTCTTGCTCTCTGGAGCAGTGGTGGGGATGGCTCCTGTCTTGTGGAAAGCCATGGCCACTGACTGCTGTGGGCGGGCCTGCTGCCGGTGCCCGGCCAGCTCCGGCTTCGGCTTGTCATTTCTTTACAATGCGTCTCTTTGCATTTCTGTTTTTCTTTTCTTTCTTTCTTTTTTTTTTTAAATGTGCACTTTTAAGATTTATTTATTTATTTATTTTTATGTATATGAATACACTCTAGCTGGGCTCAGACCAAAAGAGGGCATCAGATCCCATTACAGATGGTTGTGAGCCACCATGTGGTTGCTGGGAATTGTACCCAGGACCTCTGGAAGAGCCATCTCTCCAGATCTTGTTTTTCTTTTTTGAGATAAGTGTTTCATAGTGTAGATCTAGGTAGCCTGTAATGCACTCTGTAGCCCAGATTACCTTTGAATTCAGCAGTTCCGCTCCATCTTCCCAAGTGCTGGGATTACAGGCATGGAAGACCATGTCTAGGTGTGAGAGGGAGGAGGAGGGAGGGAGAGACAGCCAGTCAGTCAGTCAGTGCACATGCGTGTTTGAATGCGTGGAGGATAACGTGTAGATAGCAGGACTCTCCTCCCAGCGTAGGACCTGAGGGTAGAACTTGAGTTGTCATGCTTGTGGCACAGTGCTTACTCTAAGCTGTCTTGGGATATGTCATTGTGTGTGGCATGCTCATTATTGAATGTCAGACATTGCTGTCTGGTGGAAGAAGAGGACAGGCATGGTGTTTCATGCCTGTACAGTTCCACGGGAGGTTCATGAGTTCAAGACCAATCCTAGCTACACAATCAATCTTCTCAAAGACAACCCTAGAAGAGTCACCAGGGACTTGGCTTCTGTTACGCTGGTCATGTTGACTTCTGGCACTGGCTGCCGCTTCACCTCACCACCTGTTACACTGTCCTTGTCTGGGCCTCAATTTCTTTTTTAAAGATTTATGCCGGGCAGTGGTAGCACACACCTTTAATCCCAGCACTTGGGAGGCAGTGGCAGGCGGATTTCTGAGTTCGAGGCCAGCCTGGTCTATAGAGTGAGTTCCAGGACAGCCAGGGCTACACAGAGAAACCCTATCTCAAAAAAACAAAAAAACAAAACAAAAAAAAAGATTTATTTATGTATATGAGTACACTGTCACTGTCTTCAGACACACCAAAAGAGGGTACTAGATTCCATTACAGATGATTGTGAGCCACCATGCAGTTGCTGGGAAATGAACTCAGGACCTCTGGAAGAGCAGCCAGTGCTCTCAACTGCTGAGCCATTTCTCTAGCCGGAGCCTCGATTGTTTTGCTCTGCTATTCTCTGGATAGCATCATGGTCCTTCTCACAGCCCCCTGGGAGAATAGGGCAGACAAGGCTGCCAGAGTTCCCAGTCCTGCATGTGGGGAGACAATCGGCCAGCCTTCTGAATATGCTAGGTCTAGCTTTCCTGGTCCAGGTAGAGGTGCTGTACAGCCCCGCAGGTGCTCACCCCTCCCTGTTGGTTGCCTCCCCTCTCCCCTTGCAGGGAGCGAGAGCGAAGAGAAAAGGAGAGAGAAGAGTGGGAACGCCAGTATAGCCGCCAGAGCCGCTCACCCTCCCCACGCTACAGTGAGTGCTCCCCTTCCCCTCCTGGGGCAGGGTTAGGAGACCACTAGAAGCAGCTGGGTGTTGTGCTGAACTTTTGTCTGTGGTCCCAGCACTCAGGGGCAGAGGCCAGCCTGGGTCACATGGAGAAATCCTGCTTCAAATACAAAAAGTTCTAACCTGACAGTCAGGCATCTGGGGTAGAAAAGCCAAACTCAGGATCAGCCTTGATTACAAAGCAAATCCCTCTACCCCCAAGCAAGAGACCAGCACTGTAGAGTCTTGAGGCAGGAGGATGGCTTCATTTGGTGTTTGGGAGCAGCCTGGATTACATAGGGAGACTCCATCTTAAAGTCCTAGACAGCCAGGTGTTGTGGTACAGCCCCTAGGAAGGCAGAGACAGGAGTTTGATTGAGGCCAGTCTGGTCTACATAGCCAGTTTCAGATTTGCCAGGGCTACATAGTAAGACCCTGGTCTCAAAACAAAAAGCAGTGACACTGCTTAAAGAGCACAGTCTGCATCCATCTCTTTAGTGCTAAGAATGTGGGGGGAAGGGCTTGATTCGGGCAGAGATAGCCTGTCCAGGGTGAGGCAGACTCCAAGATGGCAGGCACATCAGAGGCTGGCTGGCATTTCATCACTCTCCTTTTCTTTTCAGGTCGAGAGTACAGTTCCTCCCGCAGGTGAGGCTGCAGGCCCAACCACCTGGGCGACCCTCCAAGTCTTCTAGAAACCCCCATGTCCCTCCCTTTGGCACCTCTTCATTTGGTGGGGCTGTACATGTTCCCTAGGGAAGGCACTCCTGTCTCCAGGCATGTTGGTACATGTGTGCATGAGGGAGACTCCCGGCATCCCACCCTCAAAGTCTTCTCTTCTCTGCAGGCGCTCAAGGTCCAGGTCCCGAAGCCCCCATTACAGACATTAGGCAGAAGACTGAGTTGGGGGCTGTTATGCTGCTGGGTTTCTGTAGTGAAATAAAAGCTAACGTTATTTAATGGACTTCACCACATGCCGTCCTCTAATTTAGAACTTTCAGGCTAGATGCAGCTGGAGACTGCTGCAGGTGCTGTAGCCTGCAGGGTGTGGTGAGTGAGGCCTGCAAGGGCAGGAGGAAGGGGCCAATCCAGTCAAGGGCCCAGACTGTGGCATGTGTGGACAGGGCCAGTGGATGACGGGCTACGACTGGACTGCGCCCAGCAGCCTCTGGTGACAGGTCCAGGCCTCTCCCTGCCCCAGCCTCACCCACACCAAGAACCGGGAGCACGGCTTTCTGTGCCAGTCCTCCAGTGCCCAGGGCACTTACCCCCCACTCTAAACCGGTCTGTCCAGCTGTCCATACTATAGAGGGGGAGCCTCTCGCCTCAGACACCCCAAGAAAGTCCAAGTCCAGGCACATGAATAAATAGGAGATGGTTTATTCATACAGCTAAGTGCTGGCCCATGCCATGTCTGCTTGGTGAAGTGACACCTGTACAGAACATGTCTCAGGCCATCGCCGGGTGCTTTTGCCGCAGGTGCTTGTCTAGTGTGGCCTGTAGGCCAAAGGGTACAAGGCAGTGCGGGCACTTATAGACAGTTTTACCAGTCCCCAGACCATGGGTGCGGCGGTGGCGGTTGAGCTTGCTACTCTGGGCACAAGCATAGGGACACTGGTCACAGGTATAGGGGCGCTCTCCAGTGTGTGAACGCCGGTGCACAGTCAGGTTGCTGCTGTTGGTGAAGGACTTCCCACAGAACTCACACGTGCTCCCGGGCCCGTGACTCTTCCTAGTTGTCTTCTCAGTCTTTACAGGGTCAGTCCTCTCTACTTTGACAGTGGCTCCCCAGCCAACAAAACCTGGACCCCCTTGAGCCCCATTGCCAGGAGCCCCAGGTTCCTGGACTCCTGCTGTTGCCGCAGCTCCAGCCTTCTCCACGTTCTGGCATGGGAGTGTGCTGGCTGGAGCAGCTGCATAGGCAGCTGGTTCAGGAGGGGCTGCTGGGGAGACTCCCCGGCTACTGGCAGAAGTGGAAGGGCTCCCGGGTGGAGGCTGCCGATGGGTCTTCTTGTGTCTGTTGAGCTTGCTGCTCTGAGTGCAGGCATAGGAACACTGGTCACAGGAGTAGGGGCGCTCGCCAGTGTGGGAACGCATATGGACCTTGAGGTTGCTGAAGGAGCTGAGGGTCTTCTTACACACCAAGCAGGTGGGGCTCCGCCGGGCGGCACTGTTCACTGGAGGGGTCTTCTCCTCAACTGGTCCCACTTTCACTGCTGACATGGCTGCAGCTACCTCAGCCAGACCCAGCAGCGGAGCCTCTGGGGTCTCCATCTGTGGTGTCTGGTAGATGGATAGCCCGTGGTCCCACTGGGCGTGGCACAGCAACTTCCAAGCATTGGTGTACTGTCTGCCACATTGGAGGCAGCTCAGAGCCGTCAGCTCTTTGGATTCTGGAAGGGGAGGAAGGGGCAAAGGATCACTGCTAGGCCAAATGTACCGCCCTGGTGGGATGCTGCATGGCACAGATGCTGCCCTCAAGGAACCTCCTGAAGTGTAAACAGGTTTCACTGTAGATAGTAGAGGGGACAGAGGCTCAAAAGCAGATGTCAGTATGAAAGCTCAGAGCTGGGGCCTGGCACAGAAACACCACTTACTGGGGAGGTGGGCTGGTGTCTGGATTCCAAATTTGATGTTTTTCTAGACCCATGGAGTGAGTCTAGAAGTGTCTACAGGACACTTGCCAGACCTACTCGATTTTAGATAGCCGAGTCCCAGACAGTACTGGATGAGGTGGCCTTTATGATACCACAGGCCAAAGATAAGCAGACACTTGTTAAACTCCAGGCTTTTCCTCCCTGGCTGTGTAATGTTGGACAAGACCTATCCTCCCTGCCTGTTTGCTAAGCGGCTAGAGTATGGGAATCTGAGGGGCCCCTTCCAGGGTCGTGACCTCAAATAGGGAACAGCTGAGAGCTTTGGTCACTATAAACCCTGAAATGTGAGCTGAGCCTCGGATATCAAAATACACACAGCTAAGCCAGACAGGTGGTGGCACACGCCTTTAATCCCAGCACTGGGGAGGCAGAGACAGGCAGATCTTTGTGAGTTGGAGGCCAGCCTGGTCTACATAGAGCTCTAAGCCACTCAGGTCCACGTAGAAACCCAGTACCCACAGCTATCCAGGCCTATAATAACTAATATCAGCTGCCTGGGCTAGCATGAGACCGGCTAAAATGTTAAATCCAGCAGTGACCCACACCAAGTGCCCACAAATATTGCTGGAGTTGTTAACACATCTTAGCCCTTCCCTCAACCAAAGCTGATTGGATTACAGACCCTCTCTGGCCCCAAATTACATTTCCCAAGTTCCACCTGGGCACCACACTGGAGGCTGGAAATTCAAGTTCGGATCAAATCTTAAAATCTCATGCCCAGCCGGGCAGTGGTGGCACACGCCTTTAATCCCAGCACTTGGGAGGCAGAGGCAGGCGGATTTCTGAGTTCGAGGCCAGCCTGGTCTACAGAGTGAGTTCCAGGACAGCCAGGACTACACAGAGAAACCCTGTCTCGAAAAAAAAAGAAAAACAAAAAACAAAAAAAAAAAAAAACAAAAAAATCTCATACCCAACAAGAGCTCACTCGAAGCACCACGCAGAATTTGAATTCCTTCCCCATATACAACTCGAGTATGCAGAGCCCAGACCAGGGGCTTCCCAACACTCAGCTGGGAGATCCCAGCAAGGGGAACAAGCCAGATGCCCCTTCCCTGGCTCTGAACTGTCTAAACCTCAATTAGAAGGATCAAAACACAGTTGGTGTAGTACCTTCCATTAGTCTCCCTAGGCCACTGTCCCATCCTCCACTAGGTCCCTACTGCCAACCCTGGTCCAGCCACCTGGTCAGTTATTTCTGTCCAAGGGAAAGGAGAAGTGAAACTAAATTAGGGGTGTATGCCAAAACCCCGGGGCCAGTCTTCTGGGACTGGCCACACCTTGTGGGTGGCCTTCCTCCGCTGCCCAGCCCCCGCCCCATCTCTAGTCCCTGCCCTAGGACAGGCAAGCCACGCCTAGGTTCTACCCTAAGGGGAGCAAGGAGAAAGGGGAAGTAATGATTGGTGCCCCATCTGTCCACCTTAGCTCCTCTGCAGGGCAGGAAGCCCAACCCTGGATCAGGAGTGCACTGCACCCTGAATGACTTACCTGAGATGGGGCTGGAGACTTGGAGGAGCTGACAGCCTTCTTTTTTGTGATCCATGAATGCGATGATGGACCCTAATGGGAAGATCTTCCCGCAGCGGCCGCAGGTCAACAGATCTGGGTGCTTGTCGGTCCAGGGTTGGCGGTCTGCTGGGAGGAAGCGGGTAGTGAGAGAGGTGGGGTGGAGCCCGACTCCGGGTGAGGGCTCCAAGGTGGAGAGGGGAAACCCGGAGGTTAGAGGCGAGAGGGCTGGGGAGGCCAGGCCGGTCCCGAGGCCATCCCCAGGGGAGAGGCACCCACTCGAAGGTCCGGATGCAAACAGGGGCAAGGGCTAGGGACTCACCGGAAGAACTCAGAGGCATCCACGGGGCACACGTGTTGGGCGCGCCGAGCGGGCGCGAGGCGGTTTGGAGGGGAACCACACCGAAGAGCCCCGACATGGGCATGTCCCTCGCGGACCAGGGCTTCTGCGCCAAGGACTCCAAGTTGCGGTCCGGCTTCACATCGATGACAAGGTCGGACATCTCCATGTCGTCGTCGGGCTCGCGGTTTATGCGGCGAGGCACGAGGCCCGCCTTGCGGCGGGACATGGGGCGAGGGCGCAGATCCAGGTAACCCGCTCGGCGGCTTGGCGCTCAGGTGAGTGAGTGGCCCAAGGCGACCCGCGCCGGACTTTTTACACGTGCTGGTCCTGCCTTGTCTCCGCCCACTGGGGCGGGGTCTTGGTGGGGCCAGTTGCGGCGGTCAAACTCGACCTTCCCCCGCCCAGCCCGCTGCCCCAGGACCAGTGCGCAAATTGTGCCCTCCTCCACTGGGCTGGTATACCCGGGAGGGAGTAAAAAACTATTCCCAATGCCCCCCTCCTGGCCCCACCCCCCGGCGCTGGTGGTAACCTGAGGCTCAGGATGCCGCGCTCACGTCCCAAGCGAGAAGAGGTGGACATCTCTCACTAGAGGGGAAGTACATTAAGAAAATTTCACTTTAAACCTTTTTCTTTCTTTCTTGTCTTTTAAGCCCGATCTAGCTATGTAACGTATGATGGCTTCGACCTTTGGTCTTCTTCCACCTCTCCAGCGGTGGTTTTACGGGGGGGGACGGAGGCGGGGGTGTGCATCACTACACCTGTAGTATGTGGCGCTGGGCATGGAACTCCGAACCTTTTGCATTCTAAGCAAGCATTCTCCACCCACTGGGCTACGTCCCAGACTTTGGCACCCCATTTCTCGAGTACCTACCATTCCATAATCCTTATAATATGGGGATGGACGGTGGCAGTGAGAGGGAGTGGTCACCGCAGAAAATGACTGTAAAGTGCACGCCTTTAATCCTAGTGCAGGAGGCAGAGGCAGGCGGATTCTCTGAATTCGAGGCCAGCCTGGACTACAAAGTAAGTTTCAGGACAGCCAGGGCTACACAAAGAAACCCAGTCTCGAAAAGAAAAAGGAAAAAAAAAAAGGACACCCCCCCCACACACACTTTCACCACCGCTTACTTCGGTGCTTCCTGGTATTCCCAGCTACTAGTGTGCTTGAGAATTACAAATTCAAGGCCCCTTGGGGCTGTTTCATAGTATATAGAGTGTCCTTTGTGCAGACAAATGCCATGGGGCCAAATCAAGATCGGAAGCAGGCAGGGGTACCCCACAAGAGGGCTTCAGTTTTCTCCCCTGTACCAGGACTGAGCAAGCAGGGCAGAATGGAGACCTGGAAAGGCAGGTGGCCATTGCCTATCTGAAATCTCAGCACATGGAAGTGTTGTGGAAGTCAGTTTCAGTCAGCTACACGGAGACTTTGAGACCAGTTTGGGTATATGAGACCCTGAAACAAATAAATAGTTTTTTAAAAAGTTTCTTTTTTTTTTTTTTTTTTTGGTGGTGGTGGTGGTACACAGTGTAATTCCAGTACTTCATGTTGAAATCAGAGGCAGGAGGATTGCCCAAGAGTTCCTGATCAGCCTGGTCTACATAATGAGTTCTAGGCCAAACAGGATATTATCTAGTGAGATCTTGTCTCAATAGGTAAATAAATATGAAGACCTGAGGGCTTTTTTTTTTTTTTTTGGTTTTTCGAGACAGGGTTTCTCTGTGTATCCCTGGCTGTCCTGGAACTCACTCTGTAGACCAGGCTGGCCTCAAACTCAGAAATCTGCCTGCCTCTGCCTCTCAAGTGCTGGGATCAAAGGCGTGTGCCCCCACTGCCCGGCAGACCTGAAGTTTTTGAGGGAACCAAGAAAAGCCAGGAAGGAGCCTATGCATTCTGAACTACCAAGACAGGGTGGGGGGCAGGAACTTGGGGTAGGGTCACATCCAGACGGTCTTTTGGCTACTCTGAGATTAATTAGTTTTCCTGGTACCAGGGGGTCTGGGAAGGTTTGAGACAAAAACAGAAGTATTTTCTTCCTAATCCCACCCCAAAGGGCCAGCTGTCCTTTCTGCCTCCCTCTGGGGGCCCCCTGAACTTCCTCAGATAAGAATTCTTTCGGGTGCAGGGTTTGAAGTGGCATCGACACCCTGCCCCACCCTCAATCCTTTCTGAGTTCTCTTTTCTTCCTGGCATCCACCACATCACAGTAGAAGAACTGTTTTGCTGAATGTCCTCCCCCACCCACCTAGCAGAAGCTCCCACAGATTTAGGGCCTGGTGTGTCCTGCCCCAGGTGTCCTCTGGCTGCTGAGTGAATTCCAAGGCCAAGCTCAGAAGTTCCTCATATTGTTATTCAGGCATGGACTCAATTGTCCTCCTGAGGGCCTAGGGCCCCCCTGGCCAGCATATCTAAAGTAGCCACACCCTGCTGAAGGCCTTGCAAATTACTCCCCATGACCTCCATCTGTTCCCAATTCCCTCTAAGCTGAAGCCAGGAAAGCCTGAGCAGAGGCTGGACCCAGAGCACCAATAAAGATGACCTTTGTTTTTGAGCCAGGGTTTCTCTGGATAGCCCTGGCTGTCCAGGAAATTGCTCTGTGGAACAGGCTGGCCTTAAACTCAAGAGATCTGCCTGCCTCTGCCTCTGCTGGAATTAAAGGCATCTGCCACCATGCCCGACACAGAGGTGGCTTTTTTAAATGTACTTTTTAAAATCAGTAAATCAGCCGGGCAGTGGTGGTGCACACCCTTAATCCCAGCACTTGGGAGGCAGAGGCAGGCGGATTTCTGAGTTCAAGGCCAGCCTGGTCTATAGAGTGAGTTCCAGGACAGCCAGAGCTACACCGAGAAACCCTGTCTCGAAAAACCAAAAAAAAATAATAAATAATAAAGACTCAGTAAATCAATTCACTTATTAATGTACTTTTAAATGTTTTTGCATTTACTTAGTGTGTGTGTGTGTGTGTGTGCGCGCGCGCGTGCACGCTTATGATGCCACAGCATGCAGGTAGAGGACAGAGGACAGTAATTGGGAGGCATGGCTCTCCTACCATGTGGATCTAGGGAATTGAACTCATATCCTTAGGTTTGGCAGCAAGCTCTTTAACTCACTGAGCCCACAAGTCCCTCTTTCATTTTTTTTTGTTTTCTCTTCTCTCTCTCTCTTTCTCTCTTTTTCTCTCTCTCTCTCTCTCCATATATATATATATATATATATATATATATATATATATATATATAT